ATTAATATCGCGAAAATTATGCGAAATGATTTTGTATTGTAAGACGAGAAAAGCCATATGCCTTTGGGTTTTTGAACTTGATATAGTTAGTAATAAAAAGACTTTCGTGTTTATGATATCGAGCATTCGAGAAATTGCAAAAAGCGTTCGAGAAATTGTGCAGGAAGACCATGTCATAGAAGCTGAATCTCGATGTACTTTATTGCGATTGTATGTAGAATATTAGGGACAGCATTAAGGATTGATAGTGATGGTGATATTTCAAACTTCGGTAAAGATTAATTGTAAGCGACTGTTCCGTATTCTCTGCATTTTTCACGGTGGTATGATTACCAATCGATATTATTATGTGAAGGGTGGGTGTGAGGTTGCTAATGATATAGCAAAAAGAAAAAAGGTAATCGTGTTTTATTTGAAAGCAAATTTTTGTCCTATGCCTCGACTTCTGCATCATGCAGAGAAATTGGATTGTTATGTTACTTTTTCTTCTTTTCTCTTCGTCATGCAAATATCATATTCTTCAAACCTTGCTTTTCGCATCAAATACAATATTGAATATTCATCAAATGAATTTCTGCACACCGATATTGTCTTAATCTTTAAAAACGATAAGCTTTTCGGGAAGCGATTGCGCAATTCAGAAAAAGATTTTGTTCAACACTGGTCAGAAAAAAACGAGCAAATTAATCGGAAGTCATAAAATTTAGGAGTTTCTGCCGTAAATTTTTGTTAATACATAGCTGATGAGAAAAATGAATTTTATAAATTTCATTTTCTGTAAATTATCTCGTCCTTTATATCGATTTCGATTTAATTTGGATATTGAAACAACAACTTAGGTTTATATAAACATATGTGCTATTCTAGCTCATATTTTCTTTAAATAGTGGTATAGCGTTTCAACATCGCATTTTAAATTGCTGATAATACACCTTCAACCATTTGTTTTGTTTGCTACTGCTCTTTGTCATCTCAAACATTGTTGCCGGTGATTTCTTTCTATTTGACATTTGTGTCATTCATTTACAGTTCTCTTTGCTGTAAATATTTTTATTTTGACTTTTTGGGGAAGTTTTTTCTGAATGAACATTATCAAGAATTTAACGTAAAAATTGTACCGAAACTCATCTGGCGAATTGCTCATCGGGAATGTTGCTTTAGCGTGAGTAGCTGTATTTACTTTTTAATGAATATAATTCTTCCTAAACTATTTGGTTTTTTTCGTTCCAATCATTACCTTATAATGTTAGTTAACAAATAAAAAAAAGACGGTAAGTAACAGTGTTAAAGAAAAAAGTATCTGGGTGGTAAGCCTGAATAAATTTTAGCTTTTGGTAAAAGATAAAAGTGCTATTGTTTAAAAACTTGAGTTAAGTTTATGGAGATAAAGAGTTGATTACTCAAAAGAAAGAAACTTTAAGCGTCAGAATTCATTGAATCAGAATGCTGAAGATTCCAAACAATATGTTGGAATTTCCTGTTCACACTGTTTGAGATTCCTTGTGGTTGCTTAAAGTGGTTATATTGTTCAATCATCTAAAATGCCACCGTTTGATCTTATACATAATGTGACAAAATCATCTATTACAACCGACCAAGGTAATTTGCGCTCTTGAAGAAACTCTCGTATTTGTTATCAATTACACTTAAAATGAAAACAATGAAACAGAGAGCGAAGTTAAGCATTTCCAGTAATGATTCATTATTTATATCCAGTTTTTGTCAAAAAAAAACGTCCATGCAGTGACATTGTATCCATCTCTTTCTCCTTTTTTTGTTATCATTATTTAGCTTTTCCCTGCAATTCAGTTCCTTCTCTCTCCACCAGTTTCATTCGTTGCAATACATTCCGTATACTGTCCAATATATTTTCAAATCGGTCAAAGTTCATCCTCCTATCATTTTGCCCAAACAACAAGTTTGATCTTGGTGAAATGAAAAATGATTAGTGATTGCATTTTTGTTGAGATATGTTAAAGATTTACATGTTTGGTATGTTGGACTATTTATCGACAAGTGGGATGTGGAATTAATAGTGAATAGCTGTGTAAATTATATTTTGATTTCTGTTTTATTTTGTCCTGTTTTTCTCACTTATACAACAAAAATTTCAATCATTATTGGTTATCGGTTTGCAATTAGATGATTTTACTGAAAAATCAATGATGCATACAGGGCTGTTTAGTGACTCAGGCGATAATTCTTTTCAGTGACATCCGTCGGTGAGGCCGGTACGGTTTCTTAGGAGAGATTTTATTTTGACAAACCATATTTCTGCTCCTTCTTTTCCCTCTCTTTTTCTCTCCTACTTACCTTTGTTTCGGTAAAGCCTTACGGAAGGTGAAACAAATGACTTTTTTAAAGTCGTTTTTTCTGCTTTTCATCGCCATCACTTTGTTTCCCCGCATGATCTCCTGTCGTTTTTACTAACCCTTGTGATGAAAGCGTTAGGAAAATGCTTGTGTTGTTGATGTCCTTCCGACCAACTGATTACTTGTTCTTACTTCCTGCTTATACCATTCATCACTTTGAATGCTTTGATGAAAATTACAGTAGTATTGTTTAAATGAATGGGACGGTTTGGTGTGTATATCGCAAACCTAATTTATATTTTATGAATAATCATCGAATAGTATTGGTTGATATTATCAATTTGGGTGAATATAGCAGTACACGAATGAGAAAAATATAGCAGTAAAAGTAACTGATTTTAAAGAATATTTTTCGCAAAGCAGATCGTAAAATCGAAGTTCCAAATATGTGTTAAGGATGTAATGTGCTCAGTGTACAACGATATACTACAAGACATGCCTATCTTCTCATTGATGACCCCTGACAATCTGCATAAGGTTCTTCGAATTCCATTTGGCCCTATTTCAATCAACGAAACTATTCCTCCGTATGATTGATACGTTCGCTCACTATCACTTTTATTTACGCTTTCTTATTTATTTGTGATGATGGATTTCACGTATATTATTCGTAGAGGCAAAATGCGTGATGCTAGCTAAGAATTATATCACTTGCAAGACAGCTTATGCTACCAATGTAAGGAACTGACCAAATATCCCATTCCGTTTAGGTTCACGTGCGCCATAAATTATTGACAGAATGTGCTGGACGTCGTTTTACTCGATTCATTCGCTGCTCTTCAATTCATCGATGATCTCTTCTCCCGTCTATCATTGATAACACTCCTATCCCCACACCCATCTACATGCAAGAAGAAATGGAAGTGGGAGACGAAAGAAGTGAGAGCAGTTTTAAAAATGATGACGTCACGGGAGAGTGTTAAAGGAGAAGTGCGGGGAGAGAAATAGCGTTGCCTGTGAACAGAGTGTAAGTACCGACGATTCAAAATATCATGTACTTCGTGGGGGTGCTAGAGAGCATGACTCATCCGTCCAACTGACTCCGCACTGACTCATCCCATTTCAGGCTGAACCAATACAGCACAGCACCAACTATTGTCGAGCGTGTTTCTACGGGCGTTTTCCATTTGAACTGTACGCGTACGCGTGTTCCTTTATCCGTTTGAAGGATGATGAATCTTTACGTATGCAATTGACGATGCTAGTAGATCTCTTTAGCCTCTGTAGAGTAAAAGTTCCCGGGAGGTTTCAGATAATTCCTACGAAGATACGGAGGTCTGTCACAAGTTGTCAAGTTGTCCCTTCTTCTCTCAAATATTCTGGCTGGTCACATCTTTAGCTAACAGATGTCGACTTTGCAAATGTCCATTTATTTTATTTTTATTACTTCTCATATACTAATATGGAAACTCAACTTGTGCTACTTACCATAATTGTGGAAGCCAATGCCACGAAAAATAAATTATAAATTCCTTTTCTACACAATTATTTGTTTATTATTATCTTCCATGAATTCATATTATTAGATATTATTTCTAGAAATGACGTTCATGTGAATTGTTGGTGGCCTAAAGAAATCTCGCTAGTTATCGAAATAGTATGAATTTAAGTACACCTATAACCCGTAAATATCATAGATATGAATTTTAAAAGGCTATAGATTGTCAGGAAATTTTAATGCTATGTAGACACCATTTTCCGCAAATATTCCTCAGGCCATGTTTTTTCCAGTTCTTCTTAGTTTGATTCTTAAAACACCGACGCACTCCCATTACAGCAAAAATGTGACCCTCCGCAACATCACGTCAGACCACGTGAGGATGATGCGATGGTAAGGATAACTCTCTAAGCAGCACCACGCGTTCTCGTTCACTTCGTGCGTGCATCAATAGGCACAAGGAATAATGATTCGTTATGCAATTCATCATCTCAGCATATCATTTTCTGATTGAATTCGTCGGGAGATTGAAGATGTTGCAGAGTTCATTGGATGGAAATTATGAAGCAGTTTCTTAATAGAGGATGAGATCAAAAAAGTGTTGCAATAATTTAATCAATGAGTGATAAAAAATGAGAGACTTTTCTCTAACTTTACTGATTCCAAGCATGCAACGCTCTTAATTTTTAATGTCATGTAATATTTCCGTGATATATTTCGGTGGAATGAAAGATTGTTAGATGAAGGATGGTTAGTTGATGTGGAAAAGAAAAATTCCTTTACATAAAGGAATTACCTAACTTGAATATGCTAATGTTGTTGTAATCAGAAAATTTGGAATTTATTGCTTACTGAGCGAATCCTAATTTTGAAAATTATCTTTTTATTATTCATAATGTCGATACCGAGATCTTTTCAATTGTTTATGAACTGTGTTGATTTTAATCCTAAAAGAGGAAAGCATACACTACTTTACAGATGTTAATTTTATATAGAGTAATTAATAGATGATTAAAATGCTATGTTTGTCTTGAATTATTCGAGTGAGACTGATACCGTAAGCTCATTTTAATGCGTCTTAGGGTTGGGATTTTGTACGATCTTTAAATTCTACTACTTTACGGAATTTTTCGCTACCGAATATTGTTCTGAGTAATGCCTTTCTTAAATTTTTAGGATTTCGAAAAAAAATGTCAACAATACCATCTTCAGCAGCCGCAACGACTGCTGATTTGTCATCATCGAAGGCAGCATCACTGAAGCAGCTAAAAAGCAGCATGCATCTCGATTTCTCATCGCCTACATCATCCAAAAAGCAAATAATTAGTGCTGACCTACTAGATATCATCAAAGCATCACCAACAATAGGAAAAATGTTTTCCCAAGGTGAGATGGTAGACCATCAATTTCCTGAACTACAACTGTTGGTTATACTGCTTTATATATAGGCTTTCGAAAATTGATCTTATTTTTTTATTATGGCGTTTTTTTCATACTGATCAGAACTTTTTCTCAAAAGCTTGAATTTATTCAAAGTTCTTAGATTTGGCTCGAAAAACCCCATTGGAATATTCTCCACACAGTTAGATGAAATTAAATCTATCATAGAAAAATGTATAAAATATAATTGAAATTCATGTCTTTACAGATTTAAAACATTTTTTCAATCTATTGATTTCTTTTTAAGATTGAATGTGCATTGAAAATCATTAATTTTTTGTAAACTTACTATTTACTGCAGGTACGACCACACCGACGCCTACGAAATTATTGTATCCTTCTGAAGTTACATTAGCACAGAGGCAGTATGCTCAAGGTTTTATCGGTAAGAAAATTAGTTAATTGCCTGATTTACTGGGCTTCTGTGAATTCTGTGAAGTTTAATTATGAACCAGTACGTGTGAAACTTCGTCTTATTTCACTTTTTTTTCGGTTTTTGCTTACCAGCGGTAGCTAGTCGTTTATATTCTAAAATCTTTCACTTAAGAGGATGATCAAAGATTTTTTCCTTGCAAATACGAGTTAAGGATCTGTTGCTTTGTGTGGTGAGAACGACCGTGTCTTAATATTGTCAGAAAATTATCTTCATTCAAATGTTGAGCAGTAATTTTCAATTTTCTTATTTTTTATTAACCGCTCAAATTATTCCAGTCGTTCTCTTAACTTTTGTGAAATGAGCTGTATAATTGCGAAGCACAATAATTGAATCTTCCGTCGCTGATGTCTTTTTTTCATATTTAATTTAAATTGTTGAACATAGTTCCAATTAGGTATTGAAAGTCATCGACGGTAAAGGATTCCACAGGCTTATTTTCCTATCACTGATAGAGAAACGAGTAATAATATAATACGAGTCCTCATGATTTAACTTTCATTGCATTAAAGTATTCCTCATTCGTATTTCGTTCCATAAAAGCGTGAAGCGTTATGACATTTTGTCTGAATATTGTTTGTATCTTTTCGTATTTAACAAAAAAAACGAAAAGCAAAGTTAAGATTGATTTTTTCATTTGATCGTGCGCAAGGGGATTAAAAAATTGATCTGCAGTGCTAAAACTCTTTTGGATTTGTGAATGTTCGCTCTATCACTTATCTGTGCTTCTAACCAGAAAATTTATCCAGACTTTGAATGTTGAAAGCAAAGATGAATCATTTAACGATTTCTGTATACAGAAAATGCTATGATGAATCATTTGACGATTTCTACATATACTTTCCTTCTGTTGTAAAACAAGATTTTTTTGCTATAGGAATATTGAAACTTCTACGCAGGTATTGTTTCATAACAGTAAATTTCCTTTTCCTCTTCTTGAAGCATATGAAGTATTCTGCGATTTTCTCAAGTATTTCTACTTTGAAAGCTGTTAAAAAAAATTTTTGCCTTATAAGGTTGTGGTTATGATATATTCTGCTTAATTTTTAGCTTTTATATATTCTGTTTCCGTCTATCGCTTTTTTATTTCAGTCCCTGCTTCATTTTTCGTATGTTCTTTACAGCATTACTACTATACAAGACGTTTATTATTTGTTGTTACAAGGAATACCTTAGATATGTTAAAACTAGTCATCTCATTTTTCGATACTTCATTCATCCCTAATCTCATGTCTGTCATCGCTTCCTCATGACTAGTTTATAGATGTCATTCTCCATTGTCGTTATCAAACATTTTTGTTTTTCATTTCCCTTATGAATTCGAAAGTATCTGATCTATTTCTTCATTATCTGCTTCAGAGAATTTTCCTATTCTATGATTATCATGTAAATTAGTTAATGATGTTTTTCCTAAATTTGATACAACTTGTTACTCTATTTTACTATCGTATTTGCACAGATTCGATAATATTAACAGTCATATTCAACTCTGATGGTGGCTTGAAAGAGAATAGAAATAGCACTTTATTTATAAAATTGAAGAGGCGATTTGAAGAATTGGGATGAATTCAAAAATTTGCTATTCCATTTTAAAATGCCAACTGAACTGCTGGAAAATGCAACGCAAATTGAAGTTGAAAAGAAGATGTGACAAAATCATTGAAACATTGCTATCCATGCACCGAAGAAATATTCCATGCAACTTTAGAAACGAAATTGAATTTATGCAATAAATTGATCAAAAGTATATGAAATCGAAATATAAATGCTGATTTTATTGTCCGAATCCTGAAAAGGATAGCGTTATTGTACAGACTGACAAAGTGGCGAAATCATAAACTCTTAAAAGGCAGTCATTTAGGAATTTATATAAACACTTGAGATGAAAGGTGCTTCCAATTATATAACATCTAACCTTGATTGAATTGATCCGTTGACTTGAGGTCAGGTCTCCGAATCAATCCACAAGTAAAGGTTATGATAAAACTGCTCTTTATAATTGAGATTTATTGAGCGAAAATTTTGTATCTTGAAAATTTAGTGAGAGCAATATTATTTCAACAACATTTCGTGGTAGCGCAACTTTCAAAGGCTTCTCATTTTTCGAATTCAGACTAATTTGCATTTATGTTCGCTAAGCAGGAGATATGTATTTTCCCACGCCACTTCATTGCGCAATTCTCTGCCCAGCTGTTTTTTGGGAAGGGTCACTTTATTTCTAGCATTACGGTATTCTACTTCGAGCTACGACTTCGAATATGCTGTCGCTTAGCGCTTTATTTGCATTGAATCAGTACAATTGTTTGTGTTTTTATGTGGAAAAACATTTATTAATAACTACGATGAATCTTGTAAGCATTAATTTTGAAATTTAAACCTTGCTAAGAAATCGTTATACATTCAAGAATTAACTGGAGAGATAAAAACATACATTTTCGTTTTATTAAAAACAGTAATGTTAATAAAAAATAAGTCGGAAGAAGGGCAATTTATATTGTATGTGCGGAACTTAGTTATTTCTATTTAAATTTCTACTAGTTGATTTTATTCAGTCTGTCCTTCTGTTATTTTGCATATATATCAATAAATGGGAATTATGCCATCAGAATACTGTTATGGTAAGGCGGAAAATATTTAGATAAAATATAGAAATGTTCTCATCTCAGTTTGTTGCTATTTTTCATTGCATTTTCTCAAATATTCATTCTTGTTTTTTCAATTTTCAGGGATCGATATCATTTGAGCTTAAATCACCAACTTGATATCAAACTGATTTTAAAAATTGGGAGAAAATAATTAGTTAAATATAACTTACTAATTTGTATAATAAATATTTGATTAGTGTCATCATTAATACTTCATTGTTCTTCCGATGTGGTATGTGAGGTGTTAATAGTACTGGATTGAATGCTGTCCACCAAAGTAAATATTTTCAGCTTGATATTGAGGAAAAAAATTCTGACGTTATCGAATGAATATTGTGCTCTGTATCGATTCTTGAAAATGATATCATTAAACATATTTAAATGTAATGTAAAATTGAGCATTCATATGTACAGCAGGAGAATATTTCAGATGCATTAACGCAGGTGCAGCAGTTGAATGGATTTGTCCCATCGCCAGCACTTCTCAATTCTCCGAGTTTCTTGGCTCCTTTGTTTCAGTCCGTTACTGCATCAACCAGTAACAGCGATCAAACGAAAACGGTGACAAGCCCTGTACTTACTAGTCCAAGCAGGTAAGCTCCTTTTAAGAGTGTCTAAATTTCATCAATTTTTTGTAAGTAAAGATTGAGTTCCTGAAAAAACACGCAGGTGAAAAAATTTGTCGTTGATAAGATTATTTTTCCCGCAGTTTGCTCTTTCACCTCTTTTATTTAATCCATTTTAAGAGTATGTTTCTTTTTTGATTTTGCTATTTGTTAATTAAATATGCTTCCTCCAATCCTGGATTTTTAAAGCCAAACAGAATATCATTTCATAATATAGCAGTGACCTAATTTTCATAGCCACCTTAACTTTATAGGCTTACAATTCGTCCGAGTATTTGAACCATTATTTTTTTATATATTTCGATAATATGAAAGAAGAGACAATCTGTAGATGGATTTTTTAATCGTTGTAGGAAAATTCTAGTTGAGTAGGCTTGGATAAGAATTCTATGCAGCATTGTTATATTAGGAGAGATTACACTGACCGAAGTTTAAAATGAATTTCGTAATTAATAATATATTTGTGTGCGATAAGTTATTCGAGTAATAACATGTGAAAGAATGATCAGTTTCTGGTTTGAATTGAATTGTTAGTAATACCTGCGAGAGCATACAACAGCGGAGACTTGAGAGAGGAACGGAGGTGTGATTGTGCATTTCATTTCTACAGATGTGTCTGTCAAGCGGGATTTTGTAGCAAACTGTCTAGTAGCTGTTGCAGAGAGAGTAAAGAGCTGATGATGATGATGGTGGTGGTGCTGCTGCTCCTCGAGGAAGAGAGAGTCTTTCCTGTATTATTGCTTACCCCCCGCCTCTTCCCTTTTCCCATTTCCACCCGGTCTCTCCTCTTTCATATCCATACGCGCACAGACCGTTCAAACAAACGAACCGACGACTATTTTAGTCTCCACAAAAACGCCCTCAAATGCATTTCTCCTGTGTTTTGGCTTACTTTGCTTGTTTTCGATGATTCACCAGTAGCAGCAAGAGCAGCATTTGCAGCAGCTGCAGCTTTGCATGCTATACCACCAATCCATCTGGTGAACGCACTGTTTACTTTTCCATTTTCACATCCATACCTCCTATTTGCTATTGTGATAGTGTAATATTGACGGATCGATCCAGGAACACACTTCCTACCGTGGCTCACACTTATAATTATTTTTCTCGATTCATATGACAGTACATCTTCTGTGTGCTGCGTTGCTATTTTCTTTTGACACTTCACTCTCACTATCTATCAGAACTAGTGGCACTTCTCCTGGCTTAATTATGTCACATGCTACATTTCTCTTTTTTCGATACTTTCTCTTGTTTCATTAATCACAATATACAATATACTTTTTTTATCGCTTACTTCCTTTACTATATTTAAGGAAAGTTCCAAGTTTTGATGGCCTGAAATTGTTTCATGTAACGTTGGGCTATTACTTATAAAAAGTCAAAAGAGGAACTCTTTTCTCTTTTGACCTTTTATAAGTAATAGCCCAACGTTACATGAAATATATATATTCAATCTTCAAGTAATTCTTGCATTATTTATTTATCTCACTGATAGATTTGGCCGAGTTCCATGAAACACTCCTCTCTTTTTTCCTTTTAAATTATCTAAATTTCATTCCAATGCTTTCTTCTTCCTTAAATAACGGAAAAGTACCTGTTTGTTATCTTAAACCAACCATTAAACTGTACAGTACTACTTTATTGAGCCATTCCATATTATTATTTTATGCTATAAAGTCTGTAAAATTCAACCCCGTAAAAATATTTCTGACAAAGATTTAAAAATTTTTGATGAAAGCTCAAAATAATTCTTCTAGGGAATCTCTGTCAGTGATCATGCAGGCAGCTATGAATGGTATGGGTTCGCTTGCTGGTTACAGTTTCACTCAACTGACTCCAACTCAACTTACTTCTTATGCTGTGGCTACGTCCTCTACAGTAACAACAACAACAACCGCTTCTGTGCTTCAGCAGCAACCGGTCGGTTCATCATCAACCACCACAGTTGTTATGCATCCCGATGATATAACCATGAAAAATGAATTACCAGGTTCATTGT